TGAAATTTAAGACAACATATTGCTTTTTTAAATGGTGTTTACCATCGACTCTGTCCAATTCCTGCAAGGACTGCTTGTCCTGTAAAAGGGTCCCTGAGGATCTCAAGTCACTAAAGAGACCTGGATGCAGGAGATGTAGTTTGCAGTATTTTCTTTTTGATATAAATAATGGCAATAAGGCAACTGTAACAACAGCCAAGCAAAAGCGATCATCACTAGACATTTTTTAAATGTGGCAAGATACAAGTGCAACCATGACCTGTCTTCAGTGAATACTGAAGTGAATTTGCTGCATTAGATCTAAAGATTTAAACAGTTTCCCAACCTATAGTACAATCTGGGGAAAGGCAAGGGAGCTTTTCTCCATACTTAAATGGGAATGCACACACTCTTCCACCCTCCACAGGCAAACCTTGCACTTTTACTAGAGTGGTTTCTCTTTGTGCTTAATTGGAAAAAAGTGATTCCTTCACCTTTTTTTCTCTTAATTCATTTTGCACTGGAATTCCCTGAATTATAAAATCGTTTGGCCTTTTGAATACAACCTAATTGACATACTGTACAGTACCACTGATGATTTTTGGCATGTGAAAAATATTCCTTCTTCTATAGAAACGTAATAATGAATGTTACTTTATGTAAGTATTTGTATGTTGAAATTCTTCAGAATCCATGTTTGTATTGGCGTGAGGATGCATGTAAAACTTTTGGAAATGTACCTGCTGTGACTGAGACCAAGAGTAAGCACTACTTAATATCCACAGAGCATTGCTCCAGGGCAACCAAAATGGGAAGGTCACTAGCTCCAGGTGGAGATTTTGCCCTTTGGCCCAGGAGTAGTGAGTTGGAGCCTGTGTCATGTAAATCGCTGCTAGTGTCTGAGATAGGGGTGTAACCCCGGTGTCCTGGGCAAATTGCCCATTGGCTCTTACCGCTCATGGCCTCCTAATAATCCTCCTCTATGAATTGGCTTCATTACTCTGCTCTCCTCCCCATTGATAGCTGATATGTGGTGAGCGTTCTGGCGCACTATGGCTGCCGTCGCATCATCCAGGTGGATGCTACACATTGGTGGTGGTGGAGGGGATCCCCATTATCTGTAAAGTGCTTTGAGTGGAGTGTCCATAAAAGCACTATATAAGTGTAAGCAATTATTAATTATAATTATTATTCCCTAAGAAGCAGCACAAAGTCAGTGCTCTCTCTGCAACCTCACTGATGCATTCAGGCTCGCATTGATGTCAGTAAAAGCATCGCTCCTCCAGTCAATTAACTCTCCTGTAAATCACTGTGGAAGTGAAAAGATGAATGACTCTGATGTGTGTGTGGGTCTCTGGCCTCATACAGACGTTTTTGGATCATTGCTGTACACAGAGCACAAGAATACAGAGCTTTATCCAATAAAGGGTTAAGGGGAAGCCGAAGCCTATTCTGGCAAGCAATGGGCACAAGACAGGATAAACCCTGAAATGGACACCAGGGCATCACAGGGCACAGACAGACACAAAAGTGCACGCACTAGCACCATGGCCAATTTTCACCAGAAGCCAATGAACCAGTGGGAGGAAACTAGAGCTGGTGGTAACCCACGCAAGCATGGGAAGGCCATATAAATTCCACACAAGCACCCCAAGAACTGAAGCCCATGGCCCCAGTGCTGCAAGGCAGCAAAGCAGCAATGCTAACTATTGCGCCACCATGCCACCCCCCCAAGAACACAAATAAATGAAAAAAGAAATCTGGAGGACTGGCAAACATACATTAACTGTGTTTCATATACTGTATCATTCATGTCTTCCTTTGGTCGTGGAGGCCTGGTTTCACTCATACCCAGCCTCAGTTTGCTGCCACCTTAGTTTCCATTTAGAACAATATCTAACATATTTAGCAACATAATCAAAGACAGGCCTGATTCCCAGTCTATGTCTTAATGTTTGATTATGCCCCCTGAAGGCTTCTAAGCCAGGCTGTGGAAAATAGTCAAGCCAAAAGAAATTTATTAATGTATTTGCTGTACTGTAGGCGTAATTGATGGGGCTTTCGATGCTGTATTAAAAACCATTCCTTACAGATCACTAAACAGTAACTGATTTGTAATAGAGAACCTATGACATAAAGCATTGCTTTTGCATCCCTAGCTGGCCAAATATTATCAAACATTAAAACAGGCTATTACATTTCATAAGGAGAAGAATGCCACAACTTTCCTTAGGTTAACAATGAATTAAAGAAACCACAAACTAAACTGTGTCCAAAAAGAAGACAGAGCATGGGGGATTTCTTCAGTATCACTTTTCAGATTACATATATTTTGGACTTCATTAAATAGCCATTTACATGTGTAGATCTTGGCATACACAGAGCATTGTTTCTAATAAGCATGATTTTACTGCAGCACACCATATTGAAAGGCCATTTGGGGATTTAGCTGCAGCTTACGTAGGAAGTGGAGTGTGAATCAAAAGATGCAAGCCAATTTCATCCTGTTATAGAAGCCTGTGTTGATTTTATTAATAACGAAGTTTACAATTTTACAAACTACGTCAAGGGTGAGAAGATCTGCAAAATGTGCGAGGGAGTTCTCACCAGGGCAATCTTGTGTTTGCCACAGCTTCCCAGCTGTTGATAATTTGCCTGCATGTACAGGAATGCCAATCAGGGTCATGTTCACTAACCACCCTTTGTTGATGAGAAGACATGAGACAGGAGACATGCTTGGCCAAAGTTCTGGTCTCAGGCCCAAAAAAAATAATTGTGGCTAAAATGTTGGCAGCACTGTAGCAGCGAAAAAGGTTATTTGTTTTATATTAGTCTGGCAATTCTTGGCCTGAAGGCTTGTTAGCAAAAGATTGCTAGCCAAATGCCACATTTCCCAGAGGCATTATAGTAGCTAAATAAATTGCACAATGTCGTGAGCTGACTGCAATTCAAAGACTTGCTATATTTAAAGAGAAGTTTATAATTATGAATTTTTACATTGTTATAATATTATGAAGACCACCACCTACTGGTCCAGCAACAACAGATGCAAACTTGTTCATCCTGGAAGTCTCCTACCCAAGTACTGACCAGGAACAGTCTTGCTTAGCTTCTGAGTCCTGGTGAAAAGATGGTTATGCTGTCAAAAGAAGGGTACAGGTACTCAATAAATAATGAAAATAATATATAGCAATGCTAACTAAAATAATTCTGGGTGCAAATGAATTAGCTCTGTTAGCTCTGGCTAAATGTGGCTGCATGGCTGTACTATTTAGAACATCGCATTTCGCCGATGAATACGGTTGACCTGTCCTGGGTTTCTGGCACCCCATCTTCTGATTACTTGAAATACCTGAATACTTGAAAATGCAACATTCAGATTTTCTGTCACCCATTGAAAATACCCTGCTCAAATTTGGATGCCATGTTATGAACTTATTACATCAAATATTTATTGCCCTGCATCTTAGATAGTACTTGGCATTAAAAAACATAAAACTTGTTGGGACATTTTAGATAAAACACAGCTCATGAAGCAAATTACATAAAAAAACAGGATGGCTTGGATGACATTATCAAGTCTATGAAATCTATACTCTAGAAGGGTGAGGGGGTCTTATTCTTCCCACAGTTATTTTATCAATGAAACACACACTGCCTTCTGTGTGAAATGCCCCAGGTAGCATGGCACTACAAGATTCACATTACACTTAGCCAGTTAAGCAGGGATCATTCAGGAATTTGGCAGACTCATATGAAGTAAGTCTACTCCATGGAATGTTTCAGTTCCATCAAACCAGTTTTCTAACTTCATGGGGACTTTATGGTGAAAGCAGAATGTATATTTTCTTGGGGACCATTCTTATGATACATACTGTAAAATCAATGGATTGTTTCAGAATATTGCTGATAAAAATTAGCAAAAGACCAGCCATGTACTGGACTGATGAACTGTTTGGACGAGTGTCATTACTAAAATTATACAGAAATGTGTATAACGTCTTGATTACACACCGTAACTTAAATGAAGTACACCGACAACAACGTTACGTCTCAAAACAGTTGCCTAGAATTTAGAACTTAACTTGAAATACTATTTTTGGCCTCATTAGGACGTTACTAATTTATCTTTATTTAAAATGTATCTTTATTTGTCGTATTTAATACGACAACAACTCTTTAAAAACAAGTGTTTGCCATGTTACCAGTTTCTTATTTACAAATTGAGATAACCTTACGTTAATTTAATTTAGTTTGTTTCCATTAATGAAGTTCTTTCTTCAATTAGAGTGTAGTTTCAAATGATCTTACATTTAAAGTCTTTAACATTACAAAGATTTTATTTATATTGAAAAAAAATAGAAATTCAACAAGTGAGTTCAGGAACGACTTTGGGACGAAACATCCAAAAGATTAAATAAAATAACATAATCAGCGTAAAAGTTATAAACATCTAAATTACGCATGTAAATCCCCGTTAGATGTTCAAATTTGATTTTTTGACCAAAAATAAAAAGAGCTTTGTGCTGGTAACCAGAATAACCTTTGTGAATACCGTATATGATATTTATCACATTGAAGTTGTGTCCAGTCTATTCGCGCCACCTAGCGTTGGCACACCTCAAACTACAAAAAGAACACTAATTGCTTCTATTATGTAATTTTTTATGTAATGATTCTTAATGATCTTAATGATCATCATCAGCATAATACCACCATATTGTCGGAGCTGGTTTGTCCTTGCAGATACTTCCTTATCTTTCAGCTCAAACTAATTTTTGTAATTTGACGTTCAGAGCAATGACAGAATGTTACTTGTGGTGACAATGAATTCTTCACTTAGTCAGTTACTTGTAATATAATGCATTTGAAGACTATTATTACCAATTATTCAAAATTAACAAGGATACTTTTAGAGGCAACCGGGAAACTTTACTACATACGCTCCATACGTACAGTACACACTCACCAGTTTCCAAGGGAACTAAATTTCCTGTCGCGATATGTTACCGTTAACGAGACTTGTCATTTTGCAAGATGGCGACTTCCATAGAGGGATTGTTGTCAGAGCTTTCGGGGCTAGATGAGCCTCTTGAAGAATTAAGAAATTTAAAAACGGCTGTATTAGCAATACCTTTAAACATACTAGGGGAGACCGTGAATGGCTTACGATTAGAAGTTATTTTTTCACTCCTCAACACTAATGACAGGTTTGTAAGACCTACTGTATGTTTTGAGATTGCTGAGTCAAGACAATATGTGAGGTAGAATTCACCAAAGAGTGCAAAACACAGAAAGATAATAAATATGTGAGTTTTACAGAAAGTAATTTTATGCGCTTGGAGGCAGACTAACACGTTTAAGAAAAGACCATTTATTCCATATACATAGCTTTCAAAATGAGTTTCTTTTTTTTTCTTAAAAATAAATGCTAATATAATTGTTTGCGCCTTTTTCTTTGTGTATTTTAATAAAATGTATCACTTTATTTATATGCATGTTAGACTATTTTCGTCACTAGCATACCAATAATGTAATTTTACTTAGAATTGTTTTTTAAGTAGCCATTGTTTTTTTAAACTTAAAAATACATGTGTTGTGCTGCGGATTAATGCCGTTATTTAGCGTGACTTTATATTCTGCGTTTCGATAAACGTGCTTTTACAATTCCCTTAATGAATAGTCATACAGTACTGACTAATAAGGGAAAACGATTCCGTCTTTGAAAGTAGACTCACTGAATGTAGAACTAATGCGGAAATGCTTCTTGAACATTTCATTTTGAGATTTGGACAACGCTTGTGCACTTTGTTTCGCCAGTTTGTCCTTGAAAATCAGAAAACGTGTGATCAGACATTTGTCTTGTATAATCTAGAAACGTCCTCATTCAGGATGTTTGGGTGCTCCTCTCGGTTCGTGCTTTTGCTATGCGATACTGACGAGTTTTCTCCTTGTGCAGAGAACAGATTGAGCTTTGTGGGGCCATCCTCAGCCGGATCCTGCAGGCCCTAGACCCCGTTATCCTGGCTCAGAACTTAAAAACCGAACTTCAGTGCGGGTTAAATCACCCAGATGACCTGGTTAAAATACTGGCGATGACACAAGTAGGTATCATTCAGCTAGCATTGACAAGAAAACAACTAGAAAGTGTCCTACTAAGGCGTTTTCTAGCCTTTTAAATATCCTTTCAAAACAGTTAGCTGTTCCATATTGCTTTGGGAGGATTTCTATTCTGCGTTCACTTTTTTGTCCTTTCTTCCATGGGCATTGCAACTGCTTAGGCAGAGAACTAGATTTCTCCCAGCTTGATTTTGTGTCAGCATATTACTTTTTCACACTTTGCCATGAGATCCAGGCATGACTGTTCCTAAACCAAAGTGTTTCTCTGAGCCGCTTCCTGTTCCTTTTCTTGGGTGAGTTTCCCGAAAGCATCGTAGCGCTAAGAACATCATAAACCTGGTTTTAAGATCGAGCGTTAATTTCCCAAAATCCAGTTAATTCCTTTGTAATCTACGTGCTCCCCAACCCACTCGTTTATCACCTCTTGCGCCAACCTTACAGACCAAGATCGCCCGACAGAGCACATTAAATTCGCTTCATGAAAATTCTCTGGAAATTTAGAATACTTGGATTTTATATTAAGGATTTTGAAATTTTGTTGTACTATGTAAGAGGAAATTTGGCAAAAGAACATTTATTTATACAGTAATTAATTTATTAATCATTCGGGGTACATTTCATATCCATAAGTCAAATGGTCCAATAATACTCCCTCTTTTAGTACTTTTGAGTTGAAATGCTATTTCAATTCTATAAAGAACATGAAAAATGCTAAAGCAAGGAAAACACTTGATATATGTAAAAATATAACTTGCTTACATAAATATTTACCTCATTACCGCTGGCAGTTAATTGTTTTTTTTGCTCTGTTTATGTTTTCTTTCTTTTATCTGTATTTTCTCCTCTATTTGTATTTGTAAATGTGTTATTTTGTAACGAATGTGCCCCTACGCATAACAGGGAGTTT